GCGTCGACTATTAAATCAGTCGTCGACGATTTTGATAGTCGACTAATCGTGGCAGCCCTACTTATAAACAGCACATTTGCATAAAGACTGAAACCAGCACCACTGGCTCTTAAACAGGTCATTATTTAGCTCAAACCCATCCAGCACATAGTCACTGCTCTACTGTACGATCGGTGCTTTAACACTTCAAGCCCAGTTCTGGTGACGATGTTTCCATCAGCAGGTCCTGACACATTAAAAACACAAAGCACTTCAGTAGCCTGCTTATCATCTCTTTATAAATGCTTGTATTTGCAGCTGTATGCATGGTTTATGTAGCTCTTAGCACTAAGGTGTGTTGATATTTTGGTCATAATGTACAGTACATACACGGTATGCTTTTAAGCACTGGATTACATTAGATTGATTGAAACACAGCTTCTTTGACTAAATAAGAACCACAGCCAACGTTGGTTATATGGATGATTTTACACCTAAACTAACAGGTGACTCTAGACGAGCAGCAGGTACCTAGAAGAGCAGCAGGCAATGCAGGGAGGCAGACCGAGCTGCTACCCTGCCCGAGGGCATGATGCAGGGCCACAAAAAGGCCACGTCTGACGAGGACAGCCATAACAGTCACACTGAAGACAGAGAGAGAGAAAAGAGGACTATCATATTTGGATTATTTTATTAACCCCAGAAAATATGTATGAGTGGGATCTACTGGCTGTGATTCATAAGTTAAACCGTTTTAAGGTTCTGTGGGTAAACACTGCTGAACACCAGCATGGCTGCATTTAACTATTTAGTATGAATTCTTGTTGAAACAGCTGTTTTGTGGCTGCAGGAGCGGATCCACACACACACTCTTCTAATACATTTTGAAATTCATCTTGTAAATTGTGCGTTTGTGTGACATTATATGTGTTACAGGTAATGAAATACTTTTTGGCCTGTAATGTAAAATGCATTAAGTGTTTAATCAGACTGTAAAGTATGAAATATGTGGATTTAAAGTGAGGGAGGGAAGCTGCGTCCCTCAGCACTGAGACAAACCTGGGTTTGAGTGTGAATGCTGTGATAAGGCCAAAAGCAGCACGTGTAAACCAGCATGACAGAGATAAACATCTGCACACATCTGCATTTACAGTAGTTCTACCTTCCTCTAGTGTCTTGTGCTGTAAATGGTTACATTATATACACAGATTTTTGCTTCAGAGTGGATAAGGGACAGCGTTACATACGTCCATTCAACTGGTGTTTCGGGAACGCAGCTACACGAAACCCTCCAACTGTGAGAATTCGTGAGATTTTCACCAGCTACGTCACGATGGCGACACCTTCTGCCACTAGATGTCAGTTAGGTGTAGCGCCGTGGATTACGTCACGAGTGGGATTATGTAACACGCACCACATT